GGAATCTTATAAGCAATTTCAAATCTTTATGAATTTCTCACTCAAAATAATTTGTCAATTTTTGTTATTTATATGAATTTTTTCAAAATKTTTAGTTTTGACGTTTATTTAAAATTATTGTGGATTTAAGTTCAAATGTTTGTTTTGTTAATTTCCACTAAAAAAATTTCTAAGAGACATTAGTGAAAAAAAATCTAATAAAACTCAACATTTGTCTTATACCTATGAATAGCTCATAAGAGTTGCAGTATTTCAAAAATGTTTCTGTACATAGAAATGGTGCATTTTCAAAAAATGGTTTTGCGTAAAAATCTCTGGTCTTCTTGAAAACTAAGAGGACATTTTTGTTTTTAAGCTCTCAAAGTAGCTATTATTTTATTGTTCTATCAGAAAAGATGCTGTTGAAGAAAGTCAAAAAAATTTTACCGCCCAAAATATGACTATATAAAAATKTACAATATTTTTTTATTATTATTTTATATTAACTGGTTGTTCTTGCCAATATTAATCCCGGTAAATTGTGTCCAAATTTATATATTCATTTGAAGGATACTTCCCACGACTTATCATTTATTCATTAAAGTTATTCTTTGATAAATTCTGTCCATAAAACAAAGTAAATCTAATAGTCCTACTTACTACTACTATTATTAAATTTCTAACTGGCATAKATATGGGTTTTTTTTAATTGTCTACATTATTTATTGAAATCTTAATATTGGTATGTTTTTATTTTAGTTATGTGATTATGGGATAGATCTTCAGTTTCAAATTGATGGGCAACTTAGAATTCCGCTTACAAAATCAATAAATGATATTAAGGAAAAGACTATTGAAGTAATTAAAATAAGATTTTCCGAGGACAAATGGAAACCTTTCAATCTAAAAACTAAACAACAGAGAGATAAAATTGTTGATGAATTTACAAATTATGGTTTTTCAAACATTGAATCTTACAATAAAGGTTATTTTGAGCTTAGAAATTATGTTGCAGAACAAATAATGAAATAAATTTGGTGTTTTTAGGTGATTCGTGGATAATGCTAACTCAAAACACAATAACATTCACTCGTACTTACTTATTACTTTTAAATGATTGCTTAGTGCTTTATTCAACTGATTTGGCAAATGTTATTGATCAACTACTTTATGAAGTTTTTGCTGCTCATTGTAATTACATAAAGAGCTCTATGAAAAATAAAAACTTTGTAAATGATGTGAGTATTTTTAAATAATTAAACAATTCTACATTTTTTTAAATACTT